TTGGTAGCATCTAAACTTTCCTGTCATTGACTGGAATTAATTTATGACTCCATATCCCAGGAATAGGAAAACAAGAAAAAAATGTAACATTGATTTTTTCTTTTCTTTTTTTGAAACTGAATTCTGTTCATTTCAGAGCACTTAAGCAGTAAAGCAGTGACAGTGTGGATAGGTCTGAATCAACTGGATGAAAATGCTGGCTGGCAGTGGTCAGATGGAACACCACTCAACTATCTGAACTGGAGCCCAGGTACCCCAAACAATTTGTTTATCTGAGATGGGTAGCATCATGCTGAAGCCTTAAACAGCAGCATTTCCCACATGTATACGAAACATGTTATTCTGAAAGTGGTTTATAAGGACTTTTTAAGCTCCATTGAATTCTTATATGACAAACATTTCCAGATAAGAAAATAGAAACCAAGAGGTAAGCTAGTTAGCCAATATTGTGGGAGGATTTGGGTCAGAGTCATGATTCCACTCCATTGTTTTAAAAATAGCAACAAGTTACAAAATATTTCTCTAGTGAAAACAATAAAAGTGATGCTTTTATGATCTTTGGAAAAGGATTTAATTCTCATTCCAGGACTTTGATGCTAAAAGTATATTTCAATATATATTAATTGTATTTACATTTCATGTTAAAGAAAACAACAACATACAAATATTGTATTTTCTTTCAGACATAAACTTTGAGCCATTTGTTGAATATGATTGTGGGACATATAACTCGTTCATGCCAAATGCCTGGAAGAGTCGAGATTGTGATTCTGCCTTGCCTTACATATGTAAAAAATATTTAAATCATACTGATCATGAAGTACTTGGTAAGTATTTTTATTTTAAATTGTTCTTCTGCATTGCTTTATTGCCTTTGGAATATATTCAAATTCCCCCCCCCCTTTTTTTTTTTTGCTAATAATCATTTATACATGGCTAAGGCTGTTTCATATTTCTATTAATAAAAATGCATAACTAGATACTATCTGTTATTTCAAAGATACCATGAATTCCAAAAGTATAATTAAGTTTTTACTAAAAACTAATCTATAACCAATCATGGAAATGGTGCAGAACCAGACAGCATTTCCTTCCATTGTGCATGGGGTTGCCAAGAATCAGGGTCTGACTCAACAGCAGATAACAGCAACAAAACAAAATAACTTGACCATATAAAACATTTTATTCCACTCCTTTTTAAAAAAATTTGCATTCTTAGTCATTCTGCATTATAAAAACAACATGATTGCTTTTCTATTCTCAAGTGAGTTTGACTTATATTTCTCCTAGTAAGTAATCAGAAATAATTTTATAGAATTCTTTATTTCATTGAATTTCTACCATACTCTAGATCTCTTATTAGTTAATTAATTATTAATTTAGCAATTAAGACTTAAGTGATACCTAATAACAATCTAATACCTGAAGTCCTATTATTTCTGTTTATAAGATCTATTGAGTCTTTCCATTGAGAATTAATGCCGTAACTCAGAAAGTAGAGGTAAAAACAGATACATTTTTAAAAGAAACATAATTAAAATTCACTTTAGAGTTAAAATAATAAGCTGAATTATCATTTTTAAATATTGCTCCTGTCAAAGAGCAAGACTGAGTCTCTGAAAAACTTAAGAGATTTATTGAAGGATATTACATCTGCAGTTGGGTAACAATCTGCAAAATTACAAATTGCTCCAAGGTACAGAAAATGAGAAGGGCTTTTATATAGGAGAGTTTTAGGGAAGCAGTAACCATTAGTCACACAGCAGTAACTATAAGTCATACATCAGTTAATCTACAGATGTACTGTCTTGGAGCTAGCCTGTGCAAGCATTTTGTGAAAATGAATTTGCTTATCCTTCAAGGATAGGAACAGCTTGTGTTTTTCAGGAAGAAGAAATTCTTTCTGAGAGCAGCTGTCAAGCTGTCTCCTCTTCTCTCCATCCTCCCTGAGTCAGTGCAGATTAGCCCATTAGTGTGAGCTCAGCTCAAATGCCTCTTATTTTTCAAGTCTGTTAGTACAATACAAAATCAAGCTTGTTCTATACTGTAGACAGTAGCTTCTCCTATGCCAAGCACCTAGATTTGGGGGCTTTTCCTCAGTCCCTCCTTTTGATCAAGAATTTATACTGAAATTTGCTGATTGTTATTGTAAGAGTGCCTTCCTCTGCATAGACTTTCTTTTCTTATTTTTTAGATGACTGTCTATTTTGGAGATAGGCTCTTAAGACCACAGATGTGATTCATGAAAAGTAGCTAGGCACCATCTGTTCTATCTTTGCTATGTCATAGCTTGTGCCTCTACTTCTGTGATATTTTTAGGAAAGGGAATGTAAGAACAGGGTTGAATTAGTAGAAATACTTGGCAGAGAGGGACACTAACCAAGCTGAAGATCCAAACTATCTTCTAAGGAATAATGGTTTCTTCAAAGTACATTATCTTTTACATAGAAAGTGACATTACATGATGAGTACAAGCATTTAGCATGTATTTCAGAAGACATTTAATTAATTCTATGACAATTACTATAATGATTAAAAGAATCAATTTTTCCTGTGAGGTGAAGCATAGCCAATACTTTCAGAAGTATCAAGTATGAGGCTGCAGTTTAAAACGGATTATTAAAGTGTCTGGATTTTCATGTCCAAATCAGGGATAGGAATGACAGATCTAACATTCAGTTAAATTGCTGGCATGAGGTCTGATTGGACTAGCTTCACAAATGTATTTTTTCTCTCAGCATTTAGAAGGAATTATTAAGAAAAGTATAAAACTTAAATTATATTATGAACAAACTATTAAGGAAAACGTCCACAGTAACAAAACACAGTTAATAACATAAGAATGTTGTTGTTGTCGTTATGTGATGTCAAGTCAGACCTGACTCATAGCGAGGCAGTATCACTATGGACGTAGATTGCCCAACCTTCCTTCCGAGTAGTGGCTGGTGGGTTTGAACCACCAGCCTTCTGTTTAGCAGTCAGTGCCTTAGGCACTACGCTACCAAAGCTCCTAACATAAGAATAGCTACAGTTATAAAGCAAAGTAAAAATTTCAGCAGGCTGTATGGAGTCTTGTTCCGAGATCTTGGTGTCAGCTATCTGCTTCAGATGTCATCAGCTTTTGGCCATTAGGACATTTAAAGATATTTTCTTGTTTCTGCTGTCTGATCAAGGTGCTAAGGTATAGACATTTACATAAATGGGATGGCTAACAGAATAATGTAGCATTCAGAGTCTACAATATATGAACATGTTTCTCTAAAGATGTACAAGTATCAACAAGAAAGTTAAAATATGTCCATTTTTTTGCATAATAGGATGGGACAATACGTTAAAAGTATTTTAAATATATTATCCCTTATATCTATGACTTTTTCTTTTTTTGTCTCTAGTAATCACATTGCTCATTTTTTAGTTTAATGTCATAAATAATTTGAAGCTGCTGTAGTAACAGTAAGCTTATTAACTTTTAATTTCATATCTTAGACATTTCCTTTATTTTCCAAGACAGAATCTGAGTCCTGATTTTCATATATTATTAAATCTGTTACTTTTAAATTAATCTTAGATTTGTAGTCTCCTCTATTTCCTTCTGACTATGATCTTATTATTTTCATGGCTCTTTTCTTAATTCTTTGTGTATTTTAATTCTTTTCTTTAACTCTTATTTTAGTTATATTTCATCTTTTTTTTTTTTCTCACTTGCACAGACATTTTCTTCACTTCCATAGACCTACCCTTCATTTATGCAGACATTTCTTTTTCCTAGTTCTCTGGTCCTTCAGCTACTTACATAGCTTTTTCTTTATTTCAAAACTTATTTTTGTCTTTCTGTTTCTCTCTTACTCATTCTCTTAACATTTAGAATTCACTACCCCCCAAGACTTCTAC